GCTCCTTGTACACAGTTACAGAAGGAATGCTGTAGATATCAGTATCTTTTTGGGTGTAGAAAAAACCCTAACATTTATAGAAGAGAACAAAGGATTTTGTTTGGTAAGATTTGACAGAAAAGGTGTTCAATGGGACGTTTTCAGACCCAACTGGCTGGTTTTTTATTTTCTACATCCAAAGAATAAGCAAGATTGGGCCAAACCAACACAAGAGAGGAGAGTATGGGGTTCTCTTCTAAGATGTTGGATTTCTTCCACCACTCCACAAGACAGTGGGGTATGGTTTTGGAGAAGCCGAACCTTAGGGGTAGTTTACGTTTGGGCTCCATTTTACCCACACGTCAGAAGGCAAGTGGGGTAGGAAGGGAGGCAGAACCGATAAAAGGTACCCGTTTTGCTGCATGTCTTGCTGGTGGTAACTCTGACTGCCATAGGCATGATACATATGGAGATATTCCTACTCGGGTATTAGCTCCATTATGACTCTGAGGAAAGAATGACATCAAGTCACATGTATCACTTTCTGAAGCAGATAGACATGTTGTGGAAAGCCCTTCCCAGCTCTTTTTAGCTTGTACAGGTCACCAGGCTCTCAGCTCAGGGAGGCACATGGGTTGCCAACCCTCCAGGATTGCCCTGGAGTCTCCAGGAATTAGATAGAAATCTCCAGGAGAGTCACCTGTGAGATAAATGATATGGCATTCATTAAAATAAATATTCAATGTTGAATCCAATTTACACAACAGTCCAGTAGATGTTTAAAATGTAATGGTCATGAGCATTTGCCTTCCAGACGTAGAGTCTACGCAACGTAATCCGTAACTGATATCCACAAGCACGCAGGCACATTCGCCTTGCATGTCACAGGCACGTTGGTGCTCCAGAAACCTCCCGGAATAGATTCAAACAGAGTTGGCAACCCTAGACCATGGCACAGCTGCATCACACCCCCAAAGGGATTGACAGAGGTGGGCGAATGAGAATAGGATGGAATTCAATGCAGACAAGTACAAGGTGCTGCATCTAGGGAGAAGGAACCAGCAACACACCTATAGGCTGGGGGACTCCCTTTTTGTCAACACAGTGGCAGAAAGGGATCTTGGAGTCACTGTTGACTCCAGGATGAACATGAGCCGCCAGTGCAAGTTAGCGGTCAGTAAGGCTAACCGCACCTAGTTGTGCATCTACAGGTGCATCACAAGCAGGTCCAAGGAGGTGATCCTCACCCTCTATGCAGTGCTGGTCAGGCCGCAGTTGGAGTACTGCATCCAGTACTGGGCGCCGCACTTCAAGAAATGTGTCTAGCATTGAGAGGATCCAGAGGAGGGCCACTTGCATGGTCAAAGGGCAGCAGGGCAGGCCCTACAAGGAGAGGCTGAAGGGCCTGAATCTGTTCAGCCTCCACAAAAAAAGGCTGAGAGGGGATCTGGTGGCCATTTACAAACCCACAGGGGGGACCAGCGGGAATTGAGGGAGGCTCCGTTCCCCTGAGCACCACGCGGAGTTACTAGGAACACGGCCACAAATGGTTAGAGGGCAGGTTCAGGCTGGACATCAGGAGACATTATTTGATGGTCAGAGCTGCCAGGCTCTGCAATGGGCTCCCCAAGGGAGGTGGTGCTCTCTCCTAACTTGGGGGTCTTCAAGAGGAGGCTGGACAGATAGTTGGCTGGGGTGATATGACCCCAGCACCCGTTCCTGCCTGGGGCAGGGGGTGGACCTGATGATCTGTTTAGGTCCCTCCCAACCCTAAGCACTACAATACTATGATTTTAACTCCCAGTCCTTGCAAAATGACTCCAGCAGCAGCAACCTTTCCAACCTCTATCAAAGCTGACTAAGCCTTTAAAGACCCCCTCCTCCCCAATGTCAACATTTATACATTTGAACCTTTGCTCTAAATATTTAACTTATTGACTAATACGTTTCTGAGGAGTCATTTTGAGGTTTCCTGCAGCAGGGCCCCTGGCTCGTGACGGTAATAGCAACACCTTTGGTTCAACGTTAGGCTAACGCACACAACCTGGCTATGGCCTGAGATTTGGCTGTTGGTCATAACAGTAATGAGGGGGGCTTTCGTGACACTTTCAAAGGTTTGTAAATATTTACACACGCTCCCCAGGCAGGAGAATTTGAGACGGGCCTTTAAAAACCACACGCGGGCACGAATTCGAGGCAGGAATAACAAACACAAGGCCTCACTCCGGCAGGAATAAATAAGAGAAGAACAAGAACAAAATCGCAACACTTCATTAATCCCATAACTTCTCATAAAGCATTGCCTCATGGGCATTCCTATAAATCTCCTGGATTTGTTTCCATCTATTAACGGAGGGCTCAGCACGAGAGTCCAACTTGCCTTCCCCACACTCCTTTCTCCTCCTTCGTCTTCAGACATTTCGGTCAGAGGAAAAATGGCATTTAGACTAGATGTCCATGCAGCTTCCCAAAGATATGCCTCTTGCTTTTGTTCCCGCGGTGCGTAGCAGCCCGGACCAAGGTCAGAGCCCCATTGTGCCGGGTTCGGTACATAGAGACACACCAAGAGCCGAAGAGTCAACGCTTTAAGTCAGTGATCCTCAGCCTTTTTAGACTCGTAGAAGTAGGGTCGGAAGGGACCTTGTAGATCTTCAAGTCCGACTCGCGGCATCCTCATTCGACTCAAGACCCCCTTCAGAAAACACCAGCACTTAGCTTTCCCCTGTGTTTTGACGATGGAAAAATAATAGTGTGTTGTGTTGCCGAGACCTCGGAAAGCCCCGCAACAGGTCAGAATGGGTTTGATGCTAGGGCTTCCTATATGAAATCGCCAGGTGTATCTTGTGATTCATGTATAGATGTTTGAGCATCGAACAGTGCTAATATTTGCCTGGCACCTCCCAGCACACTTAAAAGCATCTCACAGCACCCCAGGTTGAGAATCACTGCTTAGGCACCGAAGTGTGATTCTCTTCCACCCTGCTCAAGCCCCTGAAGAGCTGTTAATGCAATGTGTCCTCCTCCTCCTTGCTGTTTTTTGTTTTGTGACCCAGTTATAAGGTTCAGATGATAGTGTGCTATGAAAGTAGATGCATTACTGGTTTTCAGGGACTAAACCAGGGCGGAATAGGATCGCACCTAGGGCAGTTACACACATGCGGGAGCCCGCTTTGATGCGCCGGAAATCCAAAGCGTCGAAGCAGACGCGATTAATCAAGTCTGCTGGAGCACATAAATTCACATGCTCTGGCAGCTTCGCGCGTCACATGTATCAGTGGCGCAGCGCATCTCCGAACTGAGAAAACGGCAGTGGTACGCTTTGAAATAAAACACGTTTGCCGTGCTTTCATCCATTTTCTCAGCAGAGGGACGTGCTGCACTGCTGAGACATGTGGCGCATGGGTGCTTTTAATTAGCTTGGCGCGCTAATTAAAAGTGCCTGGTGCCGCGTTGGAAACACGTGTAAAAATGTCCCTAGGTTCCTGGCAGACATTATAGTGATGGTGTGATTAGGACTGGAGAAATTGTATACCCCGTGCCCATAACTGAGCATCCTGCCATTCTACATGTGCATGACAGGATATGCAATGTTTGGGAGGGTATAAAAGTCCCCAGATCCAATTCAAGGGATGACTGGAGCTGTCGCCTGTCTGATCTTGATGCTCAGCTGAGTGTTGGGATCCAGCACAGGGCAGCTGTAGGTGTAAAAATGGCATGTATGCATAGCCCAGCTCTTTAAAAGTCTGCGGCACAAGGACCCAAGATCAGAGAGAGCCTTTCCAATCACAGGTCGTAGTGCCCCAGGCTTTTAAATCACTGCAGGTGTAGCCCAGCAGTGTTTAAAAGCTGGAGGCACCGGAAACCAGGATTAGGGAGAGGTCTCCCCATCTCAGGTTCCCATGCCATGGGTTTTTAAACAGCTGTAAGGTTCAGATGGTGGTGTGCCATGCAGCCCAGCTGCACATGTGAGTTTTTAGTCCTGGGGCTTCCCAGGCCAAGCCTGACATTCGGCTGAGAGTCAGATGGCCACGGGGCAGCCCTGGGTCTCTTGCCACATGCTCAGTTTAAGGTGCAATATAATGTGGAACACCTTTGTGGCTGATGTGCTGTTTTATTGTGCCATATATTGGACTGAACATACAGCATATGACAACTTATGGCACGATTCACTCATGGATGGCGCCATAAATGTAATGTCTGCCAGGGCCCTCAAGTGCCTAAGTCCGCATAGATGCCCAATATATGGAATAAAATCTGGCCCTATATGACTTGATTAGGGTCACACCGAATGTCAGGGGCAGGGTAGGAAAGTGAACCTGAGTCTCCCAGGTTGCAGGCTATCACCTTTACCATCCTTCTTCCCAAAGTATGTAAAGAAAATCTCTATATTGCTCTACACGGTATATTTGTGGCACTGCCTGCTACTAGATGGCGTATCTGAATGCTGCAAAGCCAGCCATCCTCGTGATCATAAAGATCCTGGGATGAAAACCCTTGGAGGATTACAAGGCATTGTCCTGTTGCAGTTAGCTCTGCTGTTCCTGATACAGTCCTGGCAAGATTTAGACTCCACCTGTGGGAATGACTTGCCCAGCCTTAGGTGTCATATGCCTTGTTTTAGCACTTACCGGGGGGGGTCCTGGTGCCTTCCAGTGTCCCTGACCACCAGAGGGATGGAGGGACACCAGGCTGTGGTGCAATGGGACTGTCCTAGTCTCCTCCCTCATTATTCTGACAGCCTTTCCAGTGTTTCTTTGGGGGTTACAATCCCCTGCAGGTGCCCACTCCCAACTGACTAAAATGCACTTTGGATCCAGTCCTGGAGATGCAGTGACTGAGACTCTCTCTGGCTCCTCTGCAAATGCAGAAGGCAAATCCCCAGCTGGTTTGAACACCAGTATGGCCCAGGGGTCGATCTCTCCTGCTGTACCCAGGCATCATTGCAAAAACAGATCATTCCTTTATTTCCTAATAAGCTCCACGATGACATGTACTCACTCACCACTTTTCCTTTGTTCCAGGCAATGCAACAAGACCTCCAATGGCAGCGACAGCTGTGACCTGATGTGCTGCGGCAGAGGCTACAACCCGTACACGGACAAAGTGGTGGAGCGGTGCCACTGCAAGTACCACTGGTGCTGCTATGTGACCTGTAAAAAATGTGAGAGGACTGTCGAAAGATACGTGTGCAAATGAAACCTTCAAGGGATGCGATGCTAAAGGCACCAAAGCGCAGTTTACAGAAGAAGAAGCATTTCCCCAACCAGATATCATTAAAGACACAGATCTGGAGAAAGACGACTTAAGAAAAATGCAATTTTGCCAGTAAAAATAACCCTTTTTTTTCCCTTTTTTTACTTTTCAATAGAAAACATAGACGTTTTCCCCACCAATAAAACTCTTCCTTTGAGAAGATGGAGGCTTACACCAAAACACATTCTGGATGGCACCTTCTTACAAAAATACCATTTCTGACATTTGCCAATGACATCCGGCTATCAAGTGCCTTTAGTACCAAGAGAAACAGGAAAAGACACTTCCCCGGGGGAAGAAAAGCAACTCTGACTGAGAATGATAGAGGCTAGGATCCCTTTATGCATTCTAACCCATAGGGCACAGATTCTCCAATGGGCTACAGCAAAATCCCTGCTGAAGGGATGTACTACAAACTTGTAAGGAATATTTGTGCTTTTCTTTCATTTTTTTCCCCCAAAGACTTCATTTGTAGACCCGAAGATCCACTCAGGATGATGATGAAGTTAGAAGGGTTTGTGGCAGTACCCCAGAAACAAAGCACAAACCAGTCCATGCAACCCTTGCTTTTGCCCACAGCTGAGACTCTTACTGCTCCACTGTTTTAGGGTAGGTTGCCAGGGTTTGAAATTCAACCATTGGCAGAAATCTGTTGACTATGTTATGATCAGGGCACAATGCCAAGGGCCTGTTGGACACAGTGACCAGTAAGATACAATGACCTACATAGTGGAATTAAGGTAAAATGGCAAAGGAAAAGGCAACTCGTGTATCTCTTTTCACCCGCTCTGACCTTTGGATGTTAATGTCTAAATTCAGCGTCTCTCTTGCTGCCTTGTCCTCTTTAGCCCCTTAGGTGAATATGGCACCATCTCCCCTCTTCAACAGAGCTATAAAGTCTTGACCCCAGAAACTGCAGAGACATCAGCAGTGCAGGAAGTGTGTGTACGTCATCAGAAATTCCAGATGAGGGAAGCCAGCTATAAGCAGAGCCAGCCGCAGTGTGAATAATATGTAGGGTCTTGCCATGCCAACAGCCTAGAACCACTATCTGTGGATGTACATATTTTATTTTGTATGCAAACATACAGAAATATTTATAAAATATATCTCATGCTTTTCTCTATTCTACTTTATATATAAATATCTATTATAAACGAGCTTAACAATAGTATGAAATAAATGCAGAAATTACTCACCGGTTGAAAGAAAACATCGTAGAATTATTGCTATATTTAAATTGATAACATTGGCTTTTGCTTGGAAAGATATCCCATTTCTCTCCTAGAGAATTGGGTGGGGCCGGTGAGACTTAGACGTAGTGCAGAGGCGGGCAAGTATTTCAGGTGGAGGGCTGCTTAACGAGTTTTGGTGAACTGTCGAGGGCCGCATGGGTAGCCCCGCCCCTTGGTATTTGTCCCGCCATCTTGGGCCCGGAAGTCCCACCCCTAACCCCTGACCGTTACTCCCTCCCCTTGCTCCCCGAAAATACTCCTCTTGGGCAGGGGGTTGCCATCTTAGAACCAGAAAAGAAACCAAATCATACAGTAACAGTCAAACACCTACTGTAACATATTTTAATTTTATTACAAAAAATATTTTGTCATGATTTGTGTTTGTGTAGTCTATATAGAGGTGATTGCATAATAACTCAAAAATAAATTCTTAGTCTTGTATATTGTGGGGGGTATGTGTGTGTATGGGGGGTGTGGGAGGGTATGTGGAGGGGGTTGTGAGGGGGTGTGTGTGGCTGTGTGGGGGGGCATAGGGTATGTGGGGGTTTGTGTATATGTGGAGGGTTGTGGGGTGTGAGGGACGGTCGGGGGTGTGGGGACCTCCGCACTCCCCCCATGGCACAGGAGCAGGAGGCAGGGTGCTCAGGGTGCTGGTGCCTGGTGGGGCACAGCTCCGGCCAGCGCCGCGCGACTCAGCAAGGGGCGCAGCCTCCACCAGGCAGTCTGTATCGCCGGCACTCCTTGCATTCACTGGGCACAGGAGGGAAGCCCCAGA